CTTGGGAAATGGGGAATGTGTTGGTGGAACGCCACAACACTATCACCGCGTGATTCCCTGCTGGTTCCGCCGTGGGTGTGATATGTCATAACCCATTCTCTGTCAATACAGTCATTCTCGATTTTTTTTGGAGTCCAAAAGAATCGATTCTTTAACCGCAGGAACAAAATTCCAGCGCTACCGCTTTCGCCGTGAAGCTGACAGGCTTTTTTGCTCGGCTGAGTACGCGCGGGTCAAGACGAACAACTAGGCATTGACTCGACAAAAACCAGATGGCCAACTTATCGGGGAACGAGACAAAAAGGCCACACACAAAGTGGCATTCTAGCCAGTCTGGTTAGCACGCATCGGCCGTGCAAATAACGCATAAAGATCATTTTTCTGCTCCACATTCCGTCTCTGGTTCTGCCAAGACGTGGGGCATGGCATCCAGCTCGCCGTGGATGGATTTGCTGTAAGTGTGGAGGCTCATGACTGCAGTTCGATTTCTTCAACCTCACCGGGCCCCGCGACCACGATGGAAGCTAAGGGAGAAAATGATGTGGTAGGGTTGAAACCCTAGCCCACACAAGCGCCCGGACGTCTGCTAGATCTGGAACGGAGATTTGCCGGGAAATATGATGTGGCTGTGTCGAGTGTCAAGTCGGTTACCGCTCGGCCAGTGATCGGGTCGAGCTGGCCCCGATGTTGCCCAGGCGGAAACGGCAATCGCGCGCGGCGAAATTTCCGCCATCTTGTATCTCTGACAAAAGTCTGCGATGCTCACGGACGATGAGGAGCTGTCCAATCAGATTTGAATTATTATACCATTGTCTCGCGCGTATTTGTTTTTGCCATAGAGACCCCGAGTTTTGAATGCAACGGGTACGGTATCTCGCCCCAACCAAATAGCTGTCCAGGCATCTCTTTTCATGAAACAGAAGCCAGCGGTTCACAAGAAAGCAATATAATGGAACAAGCCAACAGAAAAGTGTTTTGCGAACAGGGAAGGACCACAATTGAAAATATTTTAAGACTCGAATTCAAAGTATGTGATAATCGACCCATGTTGTATTTCCTTCCAACGTTTCTTGGCCACACGCTTGAGGCTACATCTTCTGTCAAAGTGTGGTGGCAGTCAAGTATTTATTCTGTGGTGTTTAGAGCATGCACGGGGTATTTCGAAAGAATTTGGAGTTTTTCGCATTTCTTTATAGTAATGTTGACCTTTTTTCGGGGTGACGGTAGGGTAGATGTTACTGCTTTATACACAGATCATGAGATTCCAGTTTGGTATTTTTTTTCTGCAAGTGCTGCTCCGTTTTCCACTTGGGCAAAGAGCAAAGATGAAAATGTTTTACCCTTTCTTGTTCTCTTGCCGCAGTTCCGTTAGGATTCGCTCATGGTGGTTGCCGTGGTTCGTTGACATATCTTGACATCACGAACATATATCTTGATATCTGTTGATATATTATACGAAGACTTTGCAGCAGAATGTTAGTGTGTTATGTTTGGTTCAAATCCTAGAGAGGAATTCCTTGTCCCTTTTCTTCATTATTTTTTCCAGGCTATTTCCTGTTGGAAAATATCAATTAAGAAAAGTTATTTAATTGAATGCCCATTTTTGTAGCATTTTATCCAGCGGAAATACTCTCATTTCAACGCGTTATCGACACGACACCTGTATATCAGAATACTCTATAAAGATTGTATTACTTCCACCATAGAGGAAGGACACAGAAGGAGTTTGGACTGCCCGGGCTGTAACATCTGGCCAATTACCACTTTCTGGCATGCCTAGTAATTTACTATGTCCATAGCCACAGCGCAGCGAACGCTTGCTACTCACCATCTGTTTCGTAACCACGAAACCCCTTTGTACCTATTATCGCCGCGGCGATTTGTCGCTGGTAACCTGCATCTTTAAAACTTTGTACACTGAGGTATAGGAAATTGAATATTCATGCCTTTGTTGGTGCTTGGTATGATCTCATGACAACGTCAAATTTAATGCTTGCGCAGTTGCTTGCATTACGCTGGGTGCCCTAAATGTATATGTGCAGTCATTGCCCTTGATAAATGAGCTCTTTCTTCTGGAGTTAGTTTGGGGAAAATAGCCCCGTTGTTTACAAGATATTGTGTCTTGTTTGAATTATCTTTATGATGGCATTTGTACAAAAGCGTATTTTATGAGATTTCACGATCACTTCCTGTGATCAAATACCACATTTTGGTACTTACGAACTTAGCTTTCCAGTAAAAGTCAACATTTTGTTGGCGAGTCTTCGCCCAAATTCGTACCAAGTCTTTGAAAACTGATGTATTGGAGGGAGGAGAATAAAATTACGAGCTTTGCATGGATAATGGAATAGTGTATCACAATTTAAAAAGTTTTCTTTACGATGGCAAAAGTAGGTCTAATATCAGGGCCTTTTCTCTCTCTCTGTTTCCTGGTCACAGCAATAATTTGTATTTAATTGCAAGCAAAACACTACAAGTATTGCTAGGATATTACAGGCCCCGCTTATCCGGCTAAGATGCCAGCAGTAATCAGGCATTTTTTGGAATGTTTTCTCTTATTTGTCTGACTCGGCGGCGATGATCATTGAACACTTTGATGTGCCTGAGTTGCAACTTCTTCTGTGTCCTTCCTCTATGGGCCGAGTGAAAGCGATGAAATAAAGTGTAGCTCCATGTCTCTTCATGTGCACAATGCACTGAATGAATGCATTACCGAGGAAAGAAGACAAAAAGTCACCAGGCATTCAAGGGCTCTGGACCAATCAATGTTATAATTGGACCAAACAGTTTCAGACGGGCTCAGGGATTAAGTCCAGACATCTTGAGTGTCATTTCGTATAAGACTTTGACCTGAGCGTGTCAACGGAGGGCGTACTCTCAACCTTACGTCGTCTGTTTCTGTAGTAGTCGCCCTTTCCTTTCAAGTTAAAGTGGTTGGCGTTCTTCTTTGGACAACACGAACCATATTTGTGGAGGTTGTCTTCCTCTAATAGTGGCATGCGTCTTCTCCAAGAATGTGCTTAGATAGCACCAACTCGTTGCTTCCGCTGTTTACAAATTAGTGTTCATGGGCGCAAAATGCGTGTTTTTTTTTCTTTCCTCTTTTCTCATACAAAAGAAAGTCGGCTTTCGTTAAACTGTGCAAACACATTACGACCTGACTAATGAATTTTGGTTACGAAAACAGCCCAGTCGGTTGAAAAGAGTACCCAAACTTAAAGCAAAGTTTTCGTCAAGAAGAAATTCAAAATCGTGTAAGCCTTCACACCTCCCAAGTAGTACACGTACAGCCTCATCAGACATCACCCCATATGTCCTAATAGTATCCCTGGCAAAACACCTTTCTATGGGTTTGTATTGGTTCTTTTTTATATACATATAATCGACCCGGTGAGAGAATAGCTTCCAATGTTAATAGCGGAATTCTCCGGTATAAATCTACCGCCCATTTTTGCATTCTTGAAAAAAAAGGCGAAATGTGTGGTAAACAAGCACATAATTCAAAGCTGAGAGTCGGCAATAAAAACTGCATTTAACTGCTCCAAATGTCATTTTCAGCTCGCCGGGCGTGGTTGAATATCGGCAATGGAGAAAATGTGGCCTTTTTAGTGGCTCGGTGAATGAGGACTTGTGTATTGCGCGGTTAGAAGCCACCACTTTAAGGCTTTTAAAGAAGAACTCCCTCTACCTTGGTCCTTATAAGACCTCTTCCTCTTGAGATCCGTCACGCAACTTCCCTTGCTGACTTTTAAAACATTGCTGAAAACTCATCCTTTGCCTACTTCTCTTTACAATTTCCCATTCTGTGTAAAGCAATGTGATACCAGTTTGTGTGAGAACACTACATACAAGCCTGGATAATTTTTATTACATAGGAACTCGGAATAAGCATCAAATATACATTCAATCGCTACTCCTTGGCTTGGTGTCGATCAGTCGTGGAGCGTATACACATGTGTACAGGACTTGCTTAAAGGAGCACAAACACGGGATTTTGAAGGAAGACGCATTATTATGATTGAAATGCTAAGAACAAAGCACACTGCTGTATTCCATCTTGTTTGTGGTGTGATTACGCCAGACAGTGGGGAACAATTTAAAGATGCTGTGCGGCAGCCGCAAGAGCGTAAATCCCGAGGGATGGGGGTATTATCCTCCCACTTTTGACTGGGTGGTGGGCTGTGTTTATCAAGCTCCCCCTACCCATTTACGCCGATTTTCGGTTGTTTTCGGACTTCCCCACGGCCACAGATGTACTCATTAACACTGAAATAGGGAGGGAAATGAAAAACCCTACATTTACGCTGTTTTGATGCTGGGTTCAAGATTTTCAAGATATACATCTATATCATAAATAGCGCCCCTAGTGTCACATAATGTCAGCACCCCCCCCTTCACATTTCCACGGCTGGGCATTTCTTTATGTCACCCCTTTCCCACTCCATCTTTGTCCGGCAGAAATTCACGCCACCCGGCTCCCGAGACTGCTCATCGACTCAATGTGTTTTTACTTGAACCGACCGATTAATTCAAGAGAGCAGCTCACGTTTTATATTCAATATCTCCGAAACACTATTAGGATTCCGTTTCCTTCGTCCGTTGTACACGATCAGTCCACTTTCTGGGGTCACCCTGCTTTCGTGTGTGACGAATACGATACTTTTCGAGATATAACTGTTAATAGCATGGTCGAATTGGCGAAATGTTCGTATGGACATCTATCCGTGCTCTACGTGGACCCTGCCTTTGATTCGCACAACCCCGTTTCAAATCTTTGCAACAAATGCACTGAAAAGTCCAGCTACCCGCGTTCGGTTTGGGATTTGATAACAATCTAGGTTTCCAATCAACTTAGCAGTTATTACCCCTAAAGGTGTCTTTCGTACTAAAGCAATGAATCATTTTCTATAACTAAAAATAGCGGATGAGTGAAACGTGCAAGACTTTTCTGTCTTGGTCACACTTCATTCCGAGTGTTTTCTGCTTCTCTTACATTTCAGCAAGTCTCCAAGGGATGAGGAACGTGATTCCATCGGACATGAACGATTCCTGCGACCGGAAGGGATTCCTGATGTCCGCGCAGATTCAACAGACGATGCAAGGCAACTATTACGACAAGTGCGCCATTTAACGCAGCAACGGACGCGGGGCTGGGTGCAGCGACGGCGGCAACGGGGGGAGGAAGCGCTCTCCTCGCCCCAGCCCTGCCCTTCTCATCTCACCGTAGTCACCCTTTCTCTTGGGATTGCACCTCGTACAGCCTGCCTCCAGTACGGCAAGGAAGCAATACTTGCTGGCTCCCGTGAACGTATCTTGCAACTCGGACAGCACGCAGACTTGAATAGGCGGATGAATACCAGGGACAAGAGACAGTCGGTCTGTATCAAGGTGATTGTGCCAAAATGTATGGACATTTTACGTGTTTGACCTTGCCATAGCAAGGGAGTGCAGTGATTTCAGTATGATGTTGCCGAGAATGTCAAAAACAAGCAAGAAAATCTGACAGATTTTGGTTCGAAAAGTATCAACATCATATATTTGTTTAACGAGGACTGGCCGGAAACGTTTTCTTCAAAACAAGACATTTCTTGAAAAATCTAGTCCAGGCGCTCCAATAATCGTGCAACAATTCATTCCGTTTTTCAGTATATTGCAAGCGCGGGTACCAGCGGAAACTGGTACAGGTAAATGAGCGAGCAGGGATGGGAGCCAACTTTCAGTTGCACGTAAAAGCCTGGTGGTAAATTCGGAAACACTGTGCTTATTTGGATGGCTAAAAAAGAGGAAAACATCTCATTAGGTCATTTTAAGCGTTTGAACCGAGTCTCTTTTCGGAAAATCCGCTGTAATGAGTATATAGCGCCCTTGTCTTTTTGTATTTTCAATGTTTTGGTATTTATAATAAATCATACAATATCCAATGTGGCTATTGTCATAAGTACAGTTAGTATGCAAAGGACAACTGGCATCCTAGAGATATGTTGCTGTCAGTCAATGGAGACTTTGCCCGGATGTTCTCAGCTGCCATCTGGCGGATGAATCTATCTGCCCAGGAAAATCAGTCCCCTGTATTTTGAAACGTTTTCAAAAATTCGGCTTGTGTGCGATCATTTCTGAAAACTGTTCCCACAGTTTGGAACGGGACAAACAGATGTACCAGACAACTTGATGTGGCTTTTTTATACCCTGAGCAGAAAATGCATGGAGCTGCATCAGTCGCGTGGTTGGGTCTGGGCTATGACGACTAAATTCAATACAAGTGAAAGCCTGGAACCGACCCAGAGGCGAATTCCAGTCTTAATGGTAAACCCAAAGGAATCACGCATGAAATATTGATAGTCACATCGAGACAACTGCAATGAATAGCAAGTTCCCCGCTTTGTACAAATCAGCCAATTCGACTGACATTTTCAAGGGACGATTGTATATAGTTGCGGAATAAGTTCACTTTGAACTGACCAATCAGATACCGATCTACAGGATAATTATCTCCAATAGTAGGCCTACTCAAAACTATTGTTCAGCACTTTGCGGCCATCTGCAATAACACACATCTGTGGTATGGCCACTGTCATTTTTTTTTCATCCCAAATTTGTGATAACAGCCATGAACATAAGATTTTGGTTCTCGTTGTCGAAGTCTCAGCACGTAGTAATCAGCAGGCTCTAGATGCCATCAATTCGGCAAGTTTTGTTCCCAGCGCGGAACAAAATTACTAGCTTTCGTATTGAGGAGGGGTATAGTTCGAATGATTGATTTTCCCCTGGAAAGCTTAAGAACTAAATTTTTGCATACTTTTAATCAACATTTTCTGTGCCTCTCTGAAACAACTTGTAAAGATCAGATGAGGAAAAAATCCAACTTCCCTTCTGGTTTTTCTCTGGAAAATACTGTTTAATACGACTGTTCGACCAAACAAGTTTAAGTTTTCTTGGTACTTTGTGTGTTTGTTCATTATAATCGTGACGAGATGTTCTGTATATAACGATCGAGTTGACGCAGCTTATGATTAAAATTGTATTAATGACTATAATTATTCGTATCTTCAATGGATTTAATGTGGTTATAGTTATGACGTGAATATTGTAGAATTCAATTAAAATGACAGTGATCAAGAATATGCGTGGTTGTCTTCTTTGATGATGAAGTACATTTCAAGTAAGAGGATTCCAAGTTGTTTTTGCGCTTCAAACTTGGCGGAATCATAAAAACCATGACAAAAGTGTTAGAGTCGAGTCCAGGACAAGGCCTTGATGAGTCCGTCACAAGTCATTTACCAAAATGGTCAAATTAGAGAGGCTTCTGCTGAAATTGTTTTGTCATTATGTTTCCTGTTCATCTACTTCTTGCGATATTTCTATCGGACTTACTTGTGGTCTGATTTGAGATGGATTGATTGGACTTGACTTCAACTGAGCAAACTGCCTGTTTTCTCCCGGCTGAAAAGATTCTTAAATTAGAAACAAACACGGGCGTCGCCCTGCTTTCTTTCCAGGGGTAAAGCACTTTAATCTGGAGGAGGGGGGAATTTCCAGGGTTGAAGCACTAACCTGCAGCGCATCATTAATAGTGGACAGGGACACTTTTTTGTTTTTTGTTTAAATTTTTTCCGGGGGTAAGCGCGCCCCCTTACCACCCATCCCCGTCGCGATGCCCAGAAATACAAACTGCAATGGAAGAATTTCCCGGGATTACCCCCTTTCTCATCATCCTAGAACTTGGTTTCCCTGTATTTTGCCATTGTTGCTGTAAACGGCAGGCGTCTTTTGTTGAAGCATTTAGGGGAACTTGAAGCGAAAACCACGGGACCGACGAGGAGCATGCATTCAGGATGCAGGTCTCGGAACCCTCGGAGGTACTGAACCTTACCACTGCGCCGAATCAGTTCTATCGAATGGCAGTTTTACATTATGTACGAGTGCATGACACATGAACCGATATACAACCTGTATTAACACTGCTACTTACTCGAATTTCTCTACAAACTCGGCCGAATTGGAGGAAATATCAAATACTTGATTCTGTCAAGTTGATATGCGATGCAAAACTTGACGGAGGATAAGTCTTTTGCGAGTTAAATTTTAATAAAATCTGGTACACTGAGTTCTTTAAATTCACAGGAACATAACAATTGGAATTCTCCATACTAAAGCCACGGTTGCTATACGTCGTGATTCGGGGCAAGCTTTTTCTTAGTTCCATAAGAGACACCTTGCCTCAATACACTGTTCTTAATGGATAAGAACGGCACAAAGGAACCAGTCCATTCCAGAGATGGTGGTCGCTAAGCAAAAGCTTGCCCCGAATCACGAGGTACAGCAACAGTGTCTTTTGTCTGGGGAATTCAAATTGTTACGTTTCTATGCAATCAGATAACACAGGGTACCAGATTTTATTCAAATTTAACTCGCAAGTGGCTTATTGACCACAGGCCAGACAGTTCTTAGCAACACGTTGCACGCACTAAATGACGTTTTTGTGTGCGTGTTCCACAACACAATGACATCGACACGATCACATAAATTATACAGTGTCGCAATACCCTGAAAAAGATGTGAACCCACGAACCGTTCTCAGGTTGGAATGTTCGAAAAGTCACGCTTGAGCACACCACGCTCTAAATTTACCCTCTAACACAACAACAGCCAGTTAATTCAATCGCCAGGGGCCTAATTGGTGTTTTCGCTAATTGATGGACCCAGTTGTGATAGCAACAGCCGCCTTGTGTTTCTGAGCCAAGCACGCGGTATTCATCGCTTGGCTAGATAGCGAAGCGATCATGTTGCTTCACCACACAGCTTGTTTTTTTCTTTTCTCACACCGCAATCGACACTCAGTGTGTACGCAGCGCCATGGTATTCTATAGAGGGTTTGCATGGCTGCCATCTTGCAGGCCCCCGTGCTTTTGTTCCACGGGGTATGCACAAAGGAGGTTTCCCTGAGGACCAAAAGAACTGCCTTTCAAGATGCCATAGCTACCACGCAAAGTCTCTATACCTTCACAAGAAAGTTTGGAGAAACTTGTAATGTTACTGTTTCTAATGAATGAAGATGGTTTCTGAGAATGAAGCTATTACAACCCAACAACGCATTTTTGTTTTGCTCAAGTTTGATTACGAACATGCTCCGTTCCCAAGTTCCTATTTACAGAGGAATAGAACAGATCTTTGATCTCTGCTCATAGAATAGACCCAATCGAATATGGCAAAGGATTACCCCCACACAATGAAGGTTCTCGTTATTGTGGCGTTTGGGAAACTCTAGCAAAGTGTTTCTGATATAAGAAGGGGCCTTCTTGTCCAAAAACGATCCCCTGTTGCTGTTAGGGGTCGGTTGGGGCATCGGACCTCCTTCGTTGCAGCACAATTTTTGGGAAGTTTTATTATTCTCGCGCGATGTGTTATTCATCGATGTCAACCCAAATATGGGAGTACAAGCAGAATATATAGATATATTAAGGTATCACGTTCCATCACCGAAAATGATGAAGACCCTTTTGCTTATGAAGAATCATTTCTCACTAAGCACGGAGAACTGTGTGACGCTCTTCCAAGGGCAGGAAGAGAGTGTGCAATCACAGCATCCTCCATGGCCCGCCCGTCCAAGTGGCTGGGAAGGGTATACCCCTGCAGGACTAGGGACAGGGCCAAACCTGTATGCCAGAGACTAGTGTGGTGGCATATCATGCATGCAGAAATTCGTAAGACGCAGAAAATTAAGGAAAAATTAAGATCAAACACATTAAATTTTATTAAGGGATATTTATTTTCGGTTTCCTATAAATGCCGTGGAATTTCTTGAAGGGGGAAAGAAGCAACAGGAAGGAAGGTAAAATCGTACTAAGCAAAATCCGGGCGAAAAAAATTAACAAGCTTTCGAACAAAAGAAAAAATCAATTTACTAATATCTTGTAATTATTTCACATTAATGTCCCATTGTAAATCATCAGCCCCGCTTTATTGTCCCTTGGGGACTCCATACCGTGTGTCTTACACGAGGACGATTACGGTAATGCAATACGGACATCATTTCCGCTGGTATCAGGAGAGATTCGTCATAAAAACACACTCGCTCTTACAAAATCATCTAGAAGAGAATTAAGTGGTATTTTTTGTCACTCGGCACCATAAATCCGTCCTTCAATTTGCACGAGCATGCATTACCTTACTAATACTGGGTAAGCGTGTTCACAAGGGGGGGGGGGCTTTATAACCAAAAAATGGCGAGGAAAAAAAATCGTGCTTTAGCAACGACGGCTTCACCAGGATGTACCTGCGAATCGCATGCAATTAGCATGCTTCATCATTTCGACTGTTTTCCGATGGAGTAAAGGGACACCTGTCCCTGTTTTTTTTTTTTTTTCTGGCGGCATACCGAATAAAAATTACAAATTGATGACTGAAACGAAAATGACAAATTGGAGAAATTGACGGGGAAAGGACGTACCTACAACATGTTCTTAATAACAGAGTCACTGGTTTGAATGATCTACTTTGTGCAACTTTGTGCGCTTTATTCGACGAGACAGAATCTCGTTATCACAGGTTGCCCGACATTGAGATGTCACCTCAATGTTCAATATTAATTTCTTGGTATAGGCCCTACATGGAGGTTATAAAAAAACACAAAGCAAGTGCACACACTCACAAACTTCGACCGCTATTTTTATGGGTAGCCATTGGTTTCCATAAGATGTCTTTTCGATATGATTCTACCCTTTACATCCTCACTTTACTTTAGAGAGATGCGTTTTCTTGCTTTGCCTGCTGGAGTCCGGATTGTCAAGAGATGTTGATAACCAACGGAAGGTATTTTTTTCAAACAGTTGTGAATTTCCTCCAAACGATGTGAATTTAGTTCGGGGTCAAAAGAAATTAGTGTGCGGCCTGACAAAACCCGTGTTTTTTGGCGCTGTAAAAGAGAAGCCTGACGTGCATCGCTAAATTTACGGACAGAAAAACATGTCGCCGAAAAGACAAATTTCTAGGATATTAGGCTATTCGGCGTCATGTGGTGGCGCTATTACACCTTGGACCGATACTTAGCTGACCTTGCCTCAGGGATCGATCGAGGGTTGCGCTTGACCGCCAGGTGCAAGCCAAATAAACCCAGCACAATGCAGGATTCCGCCCTAGCAATTATCCTGTGCTTAAGATTGTCAGCTATTGAGATAGCCTGTCACTGCCACCATCTCTCACTACTCCGCCAACGGAGAGGGACCATCTGCCGCGTCGTATTAAGCAACCAGCCCGTAGGCGGCAGAGGCCCTCCGACAAAAATCCAATTATTTCAAGGTATTAGATCGCTGGTAACCCGACGTGGTGACAGGATGATGATAGCACCAGCTAAAAAAATCACTGATGACTCGCATGAGGTCGGATGATTTCGTGCCATGCGGCATTCTGTGGACTCAACAAATCTACGAACGTGCATGCATCCTCGCTGGTATCTATCATGACCACGACTTTTTGTCCCACGCGATGCCAGTTGAAGCCAACCTCATGGATCTAGCTGTTTGCTCTCACACCGAGACCTGATATCATTTGCATATTCAAATAGTTGGTGACTGTTTCTTTGTTCAGCCGAGGTCACCGCACGTGACAAGACTATGTACATGTATGTACGTTCATGCTTTCTGTCAAATCTCTCCGCTCAAAAATAAGACCGAAGGACAGATTTTGAACCAGAGAGAGAATCAGGAAAAGAAATAAAAGCTCACAAATTTTCCACGTCGCTAGCGCTACAAATAGGCTGAAACACTATGTTGTGAATGTTTGCGGTATTAAACAATCGCGGTTTCCACTGACTGGGTTCTACATAGAGGGCGTGCGGTATAACACCAACGAGTGATACACGTGGGTAGCCGCCATGGCATTTGTGAGCGGTATGAGGAGAGTTGGTAATACAATCGATGTTTCAATCAGCGTTATTATGATCTTCAGCTTTCGAAACGTGCTGAACACAAGACGGAAAACCCCTCCTAGGTGGACGCAAATCCTGGCATCTAATTGTCAGCTTGGATTTTTTTTTTTGCAAGGGTGCGATGAGCCCGCTTCAAAGGGCCATCAAGATTTTTTTACTTTTAGTGTCCATATACAGTTATC